GAGAAACAATATATAAATGTATTTAAATTTAGGCTGACTTGCCAATATTGTTTGTGGAAAAGTTTTGGGAAACATGGAAATAGAGTTTAGCAGGGGAAAGGGTGGGGTGCACCGTAACTTCTGCTAACTGACATATCATCCCAGCTAAAATAGGAAAGAAACAATATTCAGATGAAGTGACAGGAAGTACACATACATACATACATACTTACTTACTTACATACATACATACATACATACATACATACATACATGTCATACATGTCATACATGTCATACATGTCATACATACATACATACATACATACATACATACATACATACATAGTTACATAATTTAATTGATCATTCCCCATAGGGAATTCCCCATTCGTCCTTATCCAAGAAGACTAGAATATCTATCCATTTCTTGATTATAGAAAGGTAGCAAATTCTCCTCACTTATTTTAAGACCAAGAGTATTGGTCCGGCCAGGGCTCGAACCCTAGCTTGACCTCCCGCACAACACAATTGGCGCTTTAACCAATTGAGCTAACAGGGAGGCAGTGAACAGTGCTGTGTAGAAATGGATGTATGCCACATGTTCCATGGGATTTTTAGAATTAGAGGCATTTTGGTACTTTGATTGTCAGTTAATCAGATGTCAATGAGTGGGTGTGATAGATCACGATCTACAAACCAACAACATTGCAGTTGATGGAAATATGCTGTAAGAAAAAATCCTAAAAAAGCATTTCGATGCTTTTACATGTGTAATTAGGATAAGACTGAAACTTAAATGTGAAATCAGTATCTTTGATTGAAAAACTGCGGGAAGTATTCAAAATTTTACATGTCAATTATTGAGGGTTTGAATTAAATCATTGAGATGAGGATTTCACTTGTCTGATGAACTATTTGCTTATTATAATTAAGCCGCCCCCCACTTAGCTCAATTGGTTATAGCACCGGATTGTGTTTTGTGGGAGGTAGAGGGTTCGAGCCCCGGCCAGACCAGTACTCATGGTCTTGAAATAACTGAAGAGAATTTGCTACCTTTCTATAATATCAAGAAATGGATAGATATTCTAGTCTTCTCAGATAAGGATGAATAAACTGTAAGCCCCATCTCCTGCAGGGTTAGGGGTAGGAGACGTTGATTTCCCACGCACAAGATTACTGTGGGATGGGAGAGTGTTATTGTTTCACAGGGCCCCATTTAAACTAGCTATCTGCTAAACTGGGCTACCCTGTAGAAATATTCGTAAATACATACATACATTGATTAGGGGCTCCAGACGAGGATTTGGAATGAATCTTCAGGCATTTGATGGTCTGGTCAAGCCAACTGCAGCTAAATGTCTTGGCAGGATGAGAGGATTTCCAGATTCGGCAGGTATAATTTGTATTCTTTGTATTGTTTCAATGCATTGTAATTGTTATACATGTAATTCCTGTAGTGTTTGAAGTGAATCAAAGAAAATAGGGTTTGAGTGAAAATTATACAGTCAATGCATAGCCTTGAGGCTTATTCCAAGTCTGTCTCCCGTGTAGTTTCAACAAATAAGGAAATGTGAGACACTGATAAAAGAAGAGATATACACTGTTTTTGGCTTTCAATCAAGAATAAAGATGTTCCTAAACTTTGCAGGCACATACATGTATATCATAGGTGAATTTCTGCCACATCCCAGAGCCAAATATTTTCTAAGTAAATCTATTTTAGTCAGAAGGTGGAGAAAGGGAGTGTAATGTAATGCAAGTAATGATGCCATTCTTATTGTGGTTAGAAGTGTTATCATGCATGTGCAGTAGTGCTACTGAACTGAAGGACAATTTAGTGGAAAGAGTGTCTCCCCAGGTCCCCTTCATTTTCCCTCCCCGCGTCTTGAAGCTGACTGCCCTTTAGCTTCAATCACATTTAGTTACACAAATGCAAACGAACCTTAGTGCATCTATAAATGATTATTCAGGGACCCGTGCTGGAGCTGGAGGCAGTACAACAAGTGAAGCAGCTTATGGCTATCTTGGAGACGATGGGGAGGTGTGTAACCTTACCTAGATAATTCAGTGGACCATATTCAAATGTTTCATTTCACAAGGAAGGTTAACAAATTAACAAGTACATCCAATGATCCTCACTTTAAGAGGCCTAATTGATCTTGAATGTTTAGGACATTTTACTGTTCCTTTTAGAGTACAAACAGACATAAACAAAACCTTACCAATTCTCAGACTTGGTATTCTCAACAAGCTCCATTAACATCGTCATCCATCTTATGGCTAGCTTTGTATAAATTGTTCCAAGCTAACATGCTTGCTTATTAATGCTACATATCACACTCCCTCTCCTAAAATGAAGTATGGATGGGTGTGCTCCCCTTACTTGGGACTGTAGGTTTTATTCGTCTTCTGGGACTGAGAATTTGTTCTTTTGATTTTTATCATGTATGCAGTTTTTAAAAAATGAGAGAGATTTGATATGCCAAGATTTCTTTTAACATTATTCATGTTTTGTTCATACAGGCTGGTGTTGCTATGCTTTGTGGAGATGAAGAAAATGTTTCCAAAAATTTCCAAGTTGATAATTCGGAGCTGAAATTCTCCAAGGAGAAGGCAGTTACCCTTACCATTCTGCTCAAAGCCAAGAGGTAATAGTCATCATACTAGTCAAGTTAAGTTGAATTGCTTTTGAGGAGCTAGGGGGTGAATAGGAAAATTGATCAGCAGATTCTGACAGTATTTTTGCAGATTTCGGAGACATGGTGAAATTTTTAGAGATTTATGGATCCTGCAACAGTTTGCAGTACTCATCTATTTTTTTGGTTTGGATTATGGATATTTCTCATGATAAAGTTCAGATTGTGGATCTCACTGTTTGTCAGAAATTTTTTGTGTAATTTGTTTTTTTTTATGTGCGTTACTGTAGATTTGTTTTGTCACAGACAAGACGCAACAAATGTCATAGCCCGGAAGGTGTGACAAGTTGCCAGCAGGATGTGTTGTCTTTGTGCTCTTATCAATTTGGGTTACATTACAATTTTATTACTGGGTCATACATGATACTATTTTTGAAAGTATCTTTTAGAACTTTAAACTAGTGAGAAGCAATCTGCAAACAGTTTTTGTAAAACTGGTTTCATTCTCCAATGCAGTTCATCTAACTGTTGTAGACTTCTCTAGGGGGTTTTACAAATAAACACAGAACTTTTCCCATTCCTGTTCTGTAAATCCTCCTGAGCCTCTATGGTCTTTGGCCCATGAAATAGCCACTAACTATTGATTATAAATAGAGGTGTTTTGTATTTTCTTGTATAACTCCCCTGACAGTTGGAGGAAATGTGTCAGAGAATAAAACAAGTTTTACAACAACTGTTTACAGAGTGGTGCTCGCTAGTTTAATTTTGAAAAAGTTTGAAATTAAAAAAAAGAATTTTTTTTTTAATTTAAAAATTTGTCCCATTCAGTTATTTAAAGGTCTTCTAAAAAGCATGAGAATGTTTTTTTTTTAATTGTTTAGCTTACACACAAAAGCTCAAGTTACATTTTACACAAATTCCTATTTGTCAAGAAGGAAATGGATTCAGATTTAGCATTTTTTTAAATTGATGTACAGATTTTGGTTATTAACTGACAGTAGATGTGTAGATCTGTATACCCCAATTCACCCCTCCCCTTAAGGACTCCTGCGGTTGGAGCCTTTGAACGTAACTTTGTAGTTAAACTGAACCTTTTTGAACATCAGCATAATCACAACTGAAAAGCTTAGAGCAAACTACCCACCTCATTTTTTTTCCCTTTTTTTTGGACAAAGGATAATTAAGACTTTTGCTGGCTCACACTCAGTTTTGAAGAAATAATAATTATACTAAAGGTTTTTCCCTTTTCAAAGGCATTTGAGTCTTTTCATGCATCAGAAATCTAGATCAAAAGAATTTTTTATTATTCATATAACAATGAAAGTACCAGAGCTATGATGTTTTGCCAGGAAAAAGGATTTGTCACATTGGTCATTTCTTTAAAATAAGGCACAAACCAGTTAAGAAAAAGTTGAGAACCACCTCAGTCTACTAATACTTGTTACCAATTAAAGCTATTTTTTCATCTACAGCTGCAGTAAAAAAAATTGAAGAAACAAAGGATGGGACACTCATTCCCTGTGTCTACATTTGAATTGTGAACTTGAACCCCTCATTGATAATTGTCCATCATTTTTTGGCGAATAAATTAATGTTGTATAATGATAAACATCTATCCACTGAAGTGATTCTTTTTCTCATTAACTGCAGTATGGGTGCCACAGGAGGTGCAACCTGTTCACAGCCTTACTTTCCATTAGGAGCATGCTCAGGGGCAACAGGGCCAAAGTCCACTCCATGCCCACCTCCAGTACCTGACTGAAGATGTTGCTGACATGTAATGGAGTCTTTTGAGGAGTTGTGCTAAATAATGATTACTCAAACAGCTGTAAGGCTGTCAAATGTAGATCTATGCATTAGTCAAAGTAAACCTGCCCCCCTCCTCTCCCTAATACCCTGGGATATGTGGGGCCTTGGTAAGGATTTTGTGCATTTTTGGCAGCCCTTTGTGTCCCAAGATAGTGGGGAGTGATGCATTTTGTCACCAGTCTGGGAAAATGTGAGGCATTGGTTGCAATTAGGATTCAATTGAATATACAAGATTGGGGTTTCTCTACCTCACAGATTTGTGAGGACTTTTAGATGGCAGGATTTCTGGGTAGAATAGTGCTGTAAGGTATTTTAATCTGCACCAAATATTGAATAAAGTGTAACTGCCCACAAAGTTATCATTTTGAAAACTGCAGCAAACTGACATTAATTGTGAATTCAACTGCTTCGTGGTGTTAGCCAATTATTTTATTTAACCCATATTTTCTGAAAAACTTCCCGACATGGTGGCACCTGTCAGGTTTTGTTTGCTTTTTGGAACCAATCCCCACCTATATCCCAGAGTGGGGTGGAGGGTGAAGTAGGGTGGGGGTGGGGGGAAAGAGGTTTCAG